GGAGGCCAAGTGTACTAGGCGGGCATGGCGACGTTGCTGTAGCTCGCGCAGGAGGAAGTACCGCAGCTGAATGTGCTTCGATCTGCCCTCGAGTCTGGGCTCCTAACACAGGAGGATCATGGCCCTGTTGTCAGCGTACAGGACCGGGGCAGAGCTAGGCCGCTCACCTAAGTCTGTGAGCAAGAAAGTCAGCCAACGGAGCTCCGGTGCTGCCATGGCACCAGCGTAGATCTCAGCCTCACAGCTAGACTGGGCAACAGACGACGAACGGGTGGACGGCCACGAGACAGCACCTGCACCAAGGTTAAAGCTCTAGCCCTAAGAGGACCAGAGCGTCTCGGCGTCGTCGGCCCAAGAAGCGTCTGTGTGTCCGGTAAGGACCACTGGTCTGCGTCCTCCTAGCACTAACCCCAAGCCCGATGTCCATGCTAGATAACGCAAAACCCTCTTAGCTGCCGACCAGTGCTGAGGTCAGTGTCTGCCGGTGGCCATAAAGCGAGCAAGGATGCTGAGAGGGTATGCGAGGTATGGACGAGTGCATGTCATCAGGTACATGAGGCAACCCACCAGTTCTGCATAAGGGCCACTAGGCTCTACAGCCTCCTCTGAGACTCGAGCAGAGAGTCTGTGGTCTACTGGCACAGGGGTGGGCTGTGCGGAAGAGAACTAAAGGCCGAACCTCTAAAGGACCTGGCGCACCAAGTGTGATTGCGAGAGAGTGATAGTGATAGGACGATTACGAGACGGATGACGAGACCAGACGTGAGACGGAGGAGTAGGGTCAGGAGAGAGGGGGGAGACAGAGGAGGAGAACGGGGAGGGAAACGAGCTGGTGAGGAGTCCGGAGGAGGAAACATTGGGTCGTAGACCGGCGGGGGAGGAGGCGGCGGCGTCGGAGGAGGCACCGGCATGCAGACAGGGGAAGGAAGATGGGGTCAGCTAGGCTACGGGGCCATATGAGGGACGGAGCCGGCTAGGCAATGGGGCCGGCTGTGCAACGGGGCCGGCTGGGCGACGGGGCCGGTTAGGCGACAGGGCCGGCTGGGCAAAGGGGCCGGCAGGGCGACGGGGCTGACGAGGCGACGGGGCCGGCTGGGTGACGGGGCCGGCTAGGCGACGAGGTTGGCTAGGAGGCGTGGTCAACTAGGAGGCAGGGCCGGCTGGGCTACGGGGCTGGCTAGGCGATGGGGCCGGCTTGGCGACGGAGCCGGTCAGGCGACGGGGCCGGCTAGGCAGCAGGGCTGGCTAGGAGGCGGGGTCGGCTAGGAGGCGGGGCCGGATGGGCTACAGGGCCCGCTAGGCGACAGGGCCAGCTGGGCGACGGGGCCGGCTGGGCGACGGGGCCTGCTAGGCGACGGGGTCAGCTAGGAGCCGGGGCCGGCTAGGAGGCGAGGCCGGCTGGGCTACGGGGCCGGTTGGGTGACGGGGCCAACGAGGCGACGGGGCCGGCTAGGCAACGAGGCCGGCTAGGAGGCGGGGCCGGCTGGGCTGCGGGGCCAGCTAGGCGACTAGACCGGCTAGGCGACGGGGGCCACTAGGGGACGGGCCAGCACGGGCGGGAGGTGAACGGGGCGGCTAGGACCTAGGGCGGAAGCGCTAGTGGGGGGGGGGGGCTAACCTACTCGTGATACCATGTCAAAGTTAACGAATGACTAGAAAGGTGGGATACAAGGGAATATAACCTAGTGGGTTGTACTCTCGAAGGCACAACCCAATATAGTCTATAACAAACATACTAAGATATGTTTGACAGGGAGTTGGACGAGCGAGGAGTGGCAGGGGGGCGCGAATTTTGGGGGGCAGGGGGGAGTTTCGAAATTGGAGGGCCAGGGGGAATTGAATTTGAAGGGGCAGGGGGGAGTTTCTAAATCGGGGAACCGTGGAGAATCGAGATTGTTGGGGGAAGGGGCGATCGAAAACGTGGGGGAAAACAAGAGGAAAGGGGGATGAGTCTACACGTGGCGATCGGGATTGTCAGTACACAAATGCCACAATCCCCCCTCAAATGTTTATCTGCAGGTATCGAGACCTCGCCACCTCCAACAGGCATCACTCAGTTACCATTGTTTCAAATGATTATCACTTGAAACAAATTGAAGTGAATGTGTATCGCGGCTTTAATATACGTGGTCCAACTCTACCAAACAACACTCGCATCCCGCCATCCCTGCAATGGCGATACAACATGAGGCATAACGATGAGATTGTAAGAGAGAATACACAAGGTGATAACTGTTGTATATGTGTTTAAACAGAGTAGCGCGGAATCTAATGTCAAGGTTCAGAATGTGGTACAATGGAATGACGAGGCAAGATATAGGAACACTAGAGCAATCCTAGCCGCGTGATCGAACAGGTTCGTAGAAGGCATCCGAAGACGCAAAGCGCTTCGGAGTGACGCAGAAATGGTTCGGTTGCGTGTTCGGGCGTTAAAAATGTGTTTTCATACGCAAACATCGATGCAGCTATTTTCGTCGAATTCCCTCACACTTACGGCGACAGACTACACATCTGCAAGTTACAGTGGCGGAAAAAATTGCCCGGATGTTTAGCACTTTGAAACATATCGATATGGCACACTTGTTTCGAAAATAGTAACGCCATATTTTTCCCGTCCTGTTACAAGGTTTTCGAGTTCTGCTTCAACCGTTTCTTGCTTGGCGCGATTGTGATACAACCGAAAAGCGGGGTTGAAATTTACTCCACGGCTGTCGATGCGGACATTTCATACCGAGCGACAGACTAGATCTATTTTCGCCCGTCACTCGGTGTGCACATCGTCACGCGCAACAGCTGCTAGTCTAGGAGTTAGTCCTGAAGCGAACATACGACCGCATCGCCATGAAGCCGGTAAATGACAAGAAGTGCGCGCGAATCATAAGCATGTTGCGTGCGGGGCATTCGACTAGGAAAATAGCCAAAGTTCTTGGCATAGGCAAGAGCACCGTGCACGATTACGGTCTGAAAGCGGCTACCGAGACTAGTCGCGAGGAGGTGCGACCTACGATGCCAACGGCCGGCCGCCCCCGCTTAATCACAACCCGACTCCAGCGCGGAATAATACGAGCGGTTACAAGCGGCGAGGCGAAATGCAGTGTAGACGCGGCTAAGATGTTGTTGGAGAAGCACGATCTGGCCGTAGAGTCGAAGACGATCAGGAACTCGTTACGATCCGCGGGCTTGGTCGCCGTGCAGCAGCCCAAGAAACCCAGGCTCTCACCGAAAAACATACGAGATCGTCTCGATTTCGCGAGGTCGCATGCCGACTGGACGCTAGAGGACTGGGGGCGGGTGATTTGGTCTGATGAGACGAAGATAAACCGTTTCTGCTCTGACGGACGTGCGTACGCCTGGATTCGCGAGGGCACCAGCCTTCGGAGCCATCAAGTCCAACAGACAGTTAAGCATGGGGGCAGTTCTGTGATGGTGTGGGGTTGCATGACGTATGAGGGGGCGGGGTTCATGTGCAAGATAGATGGCAGGATGGATGGGCCGCTGTATCGCAGCATCTTGCAAGATGAGCTCAAACAGACCATCGATTTTTCAAGCTCCCCCCCTCATAGGTCATTTTCCAGCATGACAATGATCCCAAGCACAGGTCTCGTCTAGTCCAAGACTGGCTTGCGGAGCAGGAGTACGCAGTGCTGGAATGGCCGTCGTCCTCCCCGGACCCCAACCCGATTGAGCACCTGTGGGCACACTTGAAAAGGCAGCTGGGGAAGTACGAAAAGCCGCCAGGTGGAATGCTGGAGCTGTGGGAGAGGAATGGGACAAGATACCGGCGGAGGTGTGTGCAAACCTCATCGACAGCATGGCGAGGAGGATCAAGGCAGTGATTCGCGCAAAGGGACGCTGGACTAGGTACTAGTTTTCCAAGAATCTAGTTTGTTGCCTGTCTTCAGTACAAATTGTCCGGATGTTCTCTTATGATATGCTTAGGTGTTTAGGGACCATGTGTGGTACTAGTCTGCTGTTTGTCGACTTGAATTAGTGCTCTAACTGAACTTCTCAACGTGTATGCACACCATAAATTAAGGCTTAATGTTTACGCTGCTGCACTCATCAAAATGCCAAAAAAAACTAAACATGTGGACAATTTTTTCCGTCATTGTACTTCAATCACAGTACGACATTGAACAGGCTCCTCACCTGTGGCCGCACCATCTTCACAAAGTGCTGATTTCACTCGACTTTGTGTAGCTGCCCCATGATCCTGGAATGTACAGACTCGAATTTCGGGGGAATTACATTCTCATAGTCGCCTACGTCGACGACTTACTGTACACCGGCTCGTGAAACAGTCTTCTGGCGCGCATGGAGAAGAGAATCCAAACGATTCTTGAAGCGACTATTTCTCCAAACGTCACCCAAATTCTTTGGTTAAACGTCGACTGCGGCCCCGATGTCATTTAACTTTCTACAAGCAAGTACGCAGATGCACTTGCAAAAAAGTTCGCCATCGCTCCTATCGGCCTCACCACTCCATTTCGTCACATTTCGACCGATCACACACCTGATACCACAATCTCTTGGCATAATTACCCCCCCTCGAAAAAGGGACCCTGGGTCTTTTTTCCGCACCATGGGTCTTAATATCGTAAAGGGATTGTGAGGACCCGTTGTTTGGGGTAAATCATTTGAGGACCCCCGATTTCCCTCAAGAGTGTATTTGTACTCGTTTTTAGTTCCTGATTTTGGTCACGCGTTCGCAGCGCCCCCGTTTGCCTGTACACCTAGCTTTCAGAAAAGCCTTCGCGTCGCGTCAGCAGAAGGGGTTCCTGCAGTAGGCTTACAAAAAATTGACCACTGTAGGAATTTGGCTCGTGAGCCTACGACAAGCTGAGGACGAGAATCCGTAGGCGCTTAAGTGTACATACAAAAAACAATCTCATAAGTAGAAAATAAATGTCTATGGGTCTTAATAATTGCCTCCCTTTAGTATGTCCACCCAAACGATTTTCATTGAATTTTCCAAAAGACCTAGGGTGATCATGCCGGGAGATTACGGTACTACCCCACTTACGGTACTACCCCAAAGCGAGAGGTGAATTTTGGGTCTCTGTCGCTGATGATCGCCACAGGGATACCATGCAGGCGAACGACGGCCGAGATGAACAGACGTGCGGTTTCTTCGGCTGTGATCGTCGTGCGACATGACGCGAAGTGAGCCACTTTCGTGAGGCGGTCGACGACGACAAGGAACGCGTCGTTTCCACTTGGTCCGGTGGACGCTGGGGCATCAAGGACGCTGGGGCGGCTCGAGGGGCTGCAACAGTCATGCTGACCGCTGGCGTGATGATTTCATCGTCAGGCAGGTTGGGCATGCGCCCACGTACTTCTGCACGTTTGAAATCATGTCGGGCCAGTAATAAAATCGTTGCAGTGCCTTCAGAGTCTTGTCAACCCCGAAATGTCCCGATAAGTTCGAATCGTGGACTACTTGAATTAGTAATTTGCGAAGTAGACGACAACTCGTAACCCAAATTCGTTCCGTTCCCGCTTTTACGTAATAGGCTCCCCGTGCGGTCGTGACCTGCTGGTAGCCGTTGTTTACGAAAAGGGATCAGTCGAATATCCGTGGGTAAATAGTTCGCTCAGCAACGGGTTTGTCTGGGCGATTAGTACATCGGTGGTTTGGGCAGATGGTCTGGAGAGGGCGTTAGCAATGTTGTTGGCACCCTTCTTGTACGTGATTCGATACGTGAAGTTTGACTCCAAATAATCCAACAAGCGAATTTGCCGCGGGTTGAGATTCGGCTGCGTGCGTAGATACTGTATGGATTTGTGATCTGTTCATACAGCTACGTCGGCTCCCGTCATGTAGCATCGCCAGATCTTGAACCCATGCACGATCGCCAATATTTCTTTATCATATATGGGATAATTTTGCTCGGCCGACTGTAACTTTCGCGAATCGTACGTGATCGGCTGAAGGCCATCGCCTGTAGCAGAACTGCTCCGATTGCGATGTCACTTGCGTCTGTCACGACCTCGAATGGTCGTTATGGGTCAGCAATCCAAAGTACCGGTGGCGAGATCAAAATATTTTTTAATCCGTCAAACGCAGCTTGTTGCTTCTCCCCCCACTGATAATTAGCGCCCTTATGAAGTATGTCAGTTAGTGCCCCAGTCAACCCCGCCATGTTGAGGATAAACCAACGCACATAATTGACGAACCCCAAAAACGATTGCAGCTCCTGGAGGTTGGTCGGCGGCTTCCATTCCTGAATTGCCCGAATTTTGCGGGGGTCAATTTTTACGCCTTCCGTCGAAATAACGTGCCCCAGAAACTCGAGTTTGGTTTTTTAAAACTCGCACTTAGAGCCTTTGGTGATGAGTTCGATCCCATGGTCCTAAGGGCGTTCTGGTGGTAGGCCAGGTGGCAGGTCGTCTGGAAAAATATCTGGGAACTAACGAATCAGTTTTGCCAGATCTTCGGGGACTGCTGCGCAGAGCTTATCGATGTCGGCTGGTTGATCGTCATCCGTCGATTCCTTCAGATGGACGGCGTATGATTCCGCGCCTTTCTTGACCGCGCGTATGAGCGTGATGGCGTTGACGCGTGTCATTATCGGCTCTGGTCCTCGCCATTTGGGCAGTATCTGCCGACCATTCGCACACTTGACTGTGCACTCGTATGTCGTCCAATCGATCTACGGGTTGTGACGCCTAAGCCAATCTTGTCCCAGTAGCACATCGTAGCCGTCGAGTGTCGTCGCCGGCATTGGCGCGCTGAGACCGAAATTGTCACCACACTTCATGCGAACAGTTCGTACGCGATCACGTATCTCCAGCGAGGTGCCGTCGACCAATCGGGCATCAATCTCGGGTAGGCACCGCTCCTGGGGTAAGTTTTTTTCTTCTTCTTCTTCTTTTCTTTTCTTCGTCGTCGGTCGGTGAATCAGGCTGTGGCTCACGCCACCATCGATAAAGATTTTTTTTTTTTTTTTTTCGTTAACCCTTCCTTCTACCATCACAGGGTGATTCTCAGGTTCATCCCCGTTATTTGTCCGAGAGCGGTCGATAGCGTGTACCGGTACCACTGTCCGGTGGGGATGATGTTTCTCGAGCGATGCTGCCGTGTCAGTAGGGGGCCCGTTTGCTATTGACGAGAGTCGTTTCCCCGCTTGTCCCCATCGTTGTTTTTCTTCTGCTTCCGGTCAGGGCAGTCAGCATATCGGTGATCCGGCTGGTGGCAGTGAAAACACTGTCGCTTCCTGCGATCTTCGTCGTTCGCCACGATATCGTTGATCGAGGGCCGTTGATCCTGGCCACGAAAACGATTTCCCTCCTAGGAACCCGATCTCGCATATTTATTATTGGCGTCGTACAGGTCGGCGATCACCACTGCTTCCTGGAACGTCGTCAGGCATCGCATCTGCACTTCGTAACGAACGACGGATTTGAGCCTAGTAATGAACCGTTGCTTTTTTTCGGCTTCTGATAGGTCGGCGATTTGGTCGCACAATGCCTGAAATGATGACGCGTAATCCTGGACAGAGGTCAGCTGGCGCCAGGTGTCCAGCTTCGTGCGTGCGTTATCCGAAATGGATATGGGCTCGAACCGTTCACGCAGAGATGTACCCCACGCTTTCCACGTGCGAATCGCGGTCGATCCGAAAATTGACGTTGCATCCCGGGCAGCAGATTCCGAACTCCCGAAAAGCCCCTGAGTGTTCCCCCCATCTCGCTTAGCGTCGATCGCCACCAATCCAGTGCAAGTCCCCTAAGTAGTGAAACAGCCAGTTTGTTTTTTAAATCATCAACAGGAATTCCGACGGCAACAAAATAAAGCTTCATCGCGAAAAGCCAGCCCTCGATGGTGGTGTTTTTGTCCATACTGTTAAATGGGGGTGGCATCGGCGGCTTTATCTTGGCCACTGGAACAGTTGGTGTGGCTGCGGCTGCTGCAGAAACTGTTGCTACTGCTTCGGAGTGGGCGGCGGCCGTTGTCGTAGCTGCTGTAGCTGCCGTGGGACGTGCAGCGACATTCGTTGCTGCTGCTGCTTCATCATCACGGCGCTCCTGCGACACTTCGCGTGCGATTTCATCCAAGACCGTTTCGACACGTCTCGTGCTGGCGGCGTCCTCGGGGGCGGGCGACTTCTCGCATGTGGTCTTTTGCGCCTTGCGACGTTCGGTAACTTCGGCGCGAAGTTTTTCGTTGTCGTCTAGCACAGCTGTCAGGCGAGCCTCTGTGGTAGCAAATTTTGCCAACAACTCATCGGGCTGTGCCTGGTCCATGTGGCGAACACTACGCCGGGTGGGCAGGGGAATATCCGTGATTACGCGTGCTGAGGTAAGAGCGCAAACGCTATCGTAGTCGGGCGAATAAATTCGTCTAATTCGCGGCCGAGCGCTTTGCAGCTCAGTGGGCGAATCACCAGATGTTATGTGTGTGTTTAATAAGAGTAGCGCGGAATCGAATGTCGGGGTTCAGAATAACATAATGTGGTACAATGGAATGACGAGGCAAGATATAGGAACACCAGAGCAATCATAGCCGCGTGATTGAACAGATTCGTAGAAGACATCCGAGGACGCAGAGCGCTTCGGAGTGACGCGGAAATGGTTCGGTGCCGTGTTCGGGCCGAAGCTAGGGCAGATATCGGTGCCGTGTGGGGTTGATGTACGCGGTAGCGGTGTGGCGGGCTAAGGAATGGAAAATTCCTTACAATAACAAAGAATCACTCGTACTGCTTTCATTACCCCGCACAAACAACCGCATCCACAAACCTCCAAAGATTTTGCAGCATCTTTGCGGTGCCTGTCACAAGCATCTGTCTACCTACTTGTCTTGGCCACATCTAGTGGGTGTGGCGCTACTGCTGCCACAGTCCCTGCCTCCATCGCCGCACCGAAATTTGCCCCCACCACCTGCAACAGCGGCAGTTGCCGAGCCTCCTTGGCTGCAGTGGTAACAGAAAGTAAGTACCGGTACCATTGCCACCACCAGGACGAACACCATCAGAATAATACAGAAATCGTATGCCATGTTCACTAATTTTCACAATGAACAGCCTAAATATTTTGTTCTACAAGAGTACACAAAAATGCTTTGTACAGATGCAGCGTCTACTTAGAATGCATGCGAATTCCTCCTGCCTCACCCCACAGCAAGCACACCATCATGGCAATGCTGTTCCAACGAATCTGGTCATTCTGCCCAACCACCAACCAGCATTGTCGTGATGCTCTGCTGCCCTGCAAACCACCCAGCCACGCAGGAAGTCCCAACCACTCTACCATACTGCTCAGGTACTCACACACCCAGGTGAACTATTCTATACTGCACACGGGCCCTCGCCTAGGCGCGCCACGCAAAGCAGTCGATGGGCTTGAGGGAATCCTTATCCCCCTTCTGCAGGCTCTTGGGCAGGATGACGTCATCCACCCCATGCACCTGCACCACTCGCAGCGAGATGACGTCAGGCGCCACAATGGAAGCTCTCTGGGGGCCGAACATGGCCTCGACCTCCACCGGCTGGGCCCCCCGAGCTGACACCTTCACCAGACGAGCCTTGCACCCGCCTGCTGCCGCCTTGAGCTGCAGAGATGAAAAACGAGCGCGTGATGGAAACGTGATTAGGCCAGGTAGATTCGGTGACATGGTCCTGCGGCATGATGTGCCAAGCTCCTACAGGCACTCCTGTCCCACAACTTTCCACTCCTGCCGGAGCTCACCTGCTTGCCCTGTGGGAGCGCCGCCAGCGCAGCAGCAGTCATTTTCTTCTGCACCACGTGCAGCAGCACCACCTCGCGCAGCAACTTGCTGTCATCGTCAACGGCGGTCCTCGTGTCGTTCGACAGCTCCTCGAACGCCGCGTCGGTGGGCGCGAAGATCGTGGCAGCGTGGCAGTTGAAGAGCGTACGCAGATCCTTGTCGAGTCCTGAAGGGGGTATGGCGCAATAAGGCAGAGATTTGTTTCCACTGCTGACAAGGCACAGTGAGCGCACACGGGGCCACTGGAAATCGCGAAGAGCGTCGCAGCGTAGCAGTTGAAGAGCGCACGCAGAACCTTGTCGAGTCCTAACGGGGGTGCGGGGCAGTACTACGAAGAGTTGAAGACCGCTCGCATATGCTTGTCGAGACTTCAGGCTGAAGGGGGCACGGGGCAGTAATAGGGAGATCTGTTGACTCATAAGGCACGGTGAGCTGACATGGGCCAATCGCGAAGAGCGTCGCATCATAGCAGTTCAAAAAGCGGGCAGATCCTTTTCGAGACCTGAAGGGGGTGTGGGGTC